CCGCATCGGCTAATAAAACCTAAGATACATATTAAGCGATTTAAAAACGTGTGCAAATAAATCTGAAAATTAGAGAAATTATGCAGAACAGCATGAGGTTTATCACATAGAAATCATAACATAATAAAAAGTTCTAGATGTATTGGTACACATAGAAATAACCATAGATAAATATATATGTAGGAAATAACTTGTGGAATAATATTTATATATGTATACAATACAATCACATTGTTTGAAAGGAACAATCTTCTTGTATTGCACTCTTCTTCCAAGCACGTTTTTAGCACCACAGTAGTATATTATTATCTAATTGTATTTTTCAGATGTGAATTATGGGCGAAGTACTGTTTTCCTCATGAATCTTGGTGGTCACCAGAATTTCAAAACAATCTTCATTCTAGGCATTTAATGTTGTGCACTAAATATTTTAAGAAATCATCATTCATTGATAATTTTGGAAAGAGGCTAGTCAAATCTGCAGTACCTGATGAGGAATGTGATAAGGTTAGTTAATCTTTCTTTTGTTACTATCTACATTTTTTTCTTTTGTGTGGCTTTTCTCATACTACAGTGAAAATATTATCTAGTTAACAAACGGTGGTAGCAGATTGAGTGGTGATTTATAAGGGTATGCGACGTAACCTACCATTACTTCTCAACCATAAAAAAAACAAAAGATATAAACTTTAAAAAAAAGTTATCTTTTATTTAAAAAAAAAAAACCTTATCCATACTAGGATTTTCTCCTCTTTGTGGAGGCAGTTTACAAACATAAATTGGATGAGGACAAACAACCCCCGGCACAATTATTTATAGGCCTTGGGTTAATTTAAAATCGGTGGCAGAAAATGTGACTGTAAATTTAGAAAACAAAAGAAAATTAAATTCTGTTTAACTTAGTTGTATAGGTATTTATGCTATGTAGATATCATTGTTAAATGCAATATCGTGGTTGGGCGCGATGTCTTGCCACTATTTTTAGATTTTCAAGTAATTTACTAGTGCAGGGTAAAAAAAATTACAACTCTGTTACCATCATATATTTATTCATATTTAAACAACAAACAATTATTTTTAGAAACATTCTTTGTTATGAACATTAATTAAGTCTTTACTCTCATGTCCAACATGCAAAATTACACAATAGTTCTTCTTAAGTAGGAACAGTAATGGAAGTTAAATATACTCTGTTACTTCCTTTGTTTTAATGATCAAATTTTCACTATAAACTATGTAAATTGAATTAAATTATTAAAATATAATGATGATGTTGTGTATAAATGAGAATATTAAATAATTAATAAACAATGCATAGAGTCAGGTGTCAGCTTTTCATAAAATTCGAGACATTACTCTTATATATTTAGGGACACAAAAGTAACAAAGTTGTAGGAACAATAACATAGTTGTACTATTCGCAACAAATTTATGAACTACTATCACAAAAAACAATATTTTTGGCTATGAATTGTTTTAAGAAGTTTAGAAACTTAACTAGATTATAAAACTTAAGGGGGAAAAGCTAAAAAATCTTATTGAGATCAAATTAAACCTAAGCTGATAACTTATTTTTCAAATATCTCTAGTGGAGTATGGAACTGGTAATATACCCTTTTGCCTTTATTTACTTTTTAGGTACTGAAACAACTCTTATGAAACTCTCATATTGTTCATATGATATATCATTTTAAACTAATTTGTATGTTTTTCTAGTACCGTCAACAGAATTTAAAAAGACAATTTTTACTTCACCATCATCGTCTACTTCGCTTAATGCTTTGCCTAGATAAACACTTACTTTCAGAATTGTAAACTTTAACTAAGACCTAGACTCCTTCTTTGATTTTACTTGGATGAATATTTTCTTTATGAATCAAGTGATTCTCATCATTTTTTTCTTTAGACAAGCAGGGTTGATCTGATGCTTTATCTTTTAATCGTACCAAAGGATTATCATCATCTGATTCCGAACTCGAACTGTAAATTACATTGTAAAAAGATTTCCTTTTCTGTTCGATCAAATTACTTATATCCGCTAGATTAGTAGAATTACTCCTTTGATTCTTCGACTGTATCCTTTAGTGGACAATAGTTTTTTGGATTCATTCATGAGGAGAAACCAAGCTAGCAGAAACAGCTCAACTCTCGATATTTCAGCGCTCCCACTTCTTCTGTAATACACTAGTAGTACACTTGATGTACTTTCATTATACCATAGAAAGGAACAATTTCTGCTGGAATTTCATTCGTGATTCTTTCAATATCATAATCAGTTCAAGATTGACCTTAACTCTACTACTATCTTTCAGAGACTGATAGAACGAAGACGCTATCAGAATGTCTTTCCCAACAGCAACAAGCTGATCAGCAGTCCGTTTTAGAAAGCCACCAACACCAACAGCTGCTCCTTTGCCGTGTCCCGACTCGAAAAAATTCCATGTAGGCTTGGTGAGGTTGTACTTTGAGAAAAGTTTTGTCCATATTAAGCAGAAGTTTTGATTCTGGCGGTACTGAGTAGCGGGTCATCTGAAAATATGTGTATCACTTTTATCTTAGGGGATTGGTCTTGAATTGAGGAAAGTATAGGATGAAGGTGACTCCAGATTGCCGAAGGGCCGTGAGAGAGGTTACCTAATACTGTACAAAAAGACTTCACCTTTATGTTTCGATTTTCCAAGCTTCGCTTATACAATACGCCAGTATGTAAGGATACCTGGTTATGAGTATCACGAAAGTGGTGTGATTGTATCACTTCATGGAACTTGCAATTGTAATTTTCGCTGAAATCTATGTGTAGCGCTATTTTTTCTTCTGTCAATCCATCTATACAAGATCTGTAGTTTCTATACTGAGTTGAGTCATGTCTTTTATTAAGCGTTTCTTTTTATGATATCTCTCTAAATCCTTCTTCTTAGCTTCCGCCACCTCTTCAGGGTTTTATTTGCACTTTTCTTTATAGCGCCGCTGCTTTTCAGCAGCGGTGAGAGCCATAGCGAAGTACTATGTATTATCTAGAACAAATGATGTAATTTATTAGATAGCTATTATATAATATTGATTCCTACTAACATAGAAGCAGAGATACGGATACACAGACGCCAACGATGGCTTGTAACAGCTTAGTAATAACAACTCTGTTACCTCTCTACAACTCTGTTACCAGTAGCTAGTAACATAGTTGTGCAGTAACAGAATGGTAAATTATACTTTAGTGACATTTTTTTTAGAAATGAAAGTTTATTATGTACAAAGAAAAGCACATTCGATATATCTTACACTAGAGCTACTTCAATAATATAAAACTATACGCAAATATCTGAATACTTACGCGAAAACACCGGTAACAGAGTACACACAGAATAAAACCACGAGCCTCACACCGCAGCCATCGGATAAATGAATCGTGTACCCGCGCCTCAACCGCCGCAAACCGTACGTAAGAACAGTAGATATTTATGATGAAACAATTGCCAAAGAATGGATAGCGCCATCTCTTGGTATTTATCCGGTTTACTATAGTAACAGAATGTAGCTCTAATATTTTGAAGACCTTGGGACAAAATTTAAAATAATCGTACAAGCTTCAATTAATTTATTTAATATGGATGAAGTATGTTTTTAAATGTGTTATGATTGCTTTATTACACTAGCTTTCAAACATAACAATTACATTGAATTGATAAAAAGATATTATGATTTTCGCATGATGCACTGCATATGGGACAGAATTTTTTTGTATGGAAAACAACTATGTTACCAAGAATGACCACTCTGTTACTTGATAAAAGTGGTGATAAATCAATAATAAAATTCATTTTTCTTGAGAATAAGCTTAGTAATTCGCCCCATATTTGACAAATTCAATAACATTATAACAATTTAATTAATATCACCGAGAAGAAAATATTTTTGCTCAGGGACGACTTTATCTGCAACCAATTTTAAATTGACCCCCTTACAAATACTTATTCTGTGCAGCATTCGAACTTGTGACCTTTAGTGCCGCAACTCAATGCTAGCCACTGCTCCGCGAGCTGTCAATGTTGTTTAAATGACATGATTATAATTTAGTTACTTACAGAATATATTTACAAATAAAAGAAATTGTTAAAATAGAGTCTTAAAAATAGGATGGTGGTGGTACTGGTGTTAAAGCAACATTCATTAAAAAAAACAAGTTGTATTTAATGTTTATAAATTTATAAGGCTGTTTGAAATTTAGAGATTGGTTGACCAATGCTGGGATACATGATATAAATAATGATTTGATAATCTCTAATTTTCAGATCACATTAGCTGACCTTAATTTGGAACAAAGGAATGTCATTCAACATATTGCAGGTCCATCAACTAATAAACAACCACTGTCTGAAAATATTCAGAAGACTATAACTGTTTCAAATGTATTTGAGCCTGTTGCAGGTCCGTCAAAATTTATACAACCCTTGTGTGAGAATGTAAATTATAAAACCATTCCTGACAAAACTAGTGATATTCCTCAAGTAACTGAGAATATCAACCCTGTTGCTGCTGCAAATCCATCCCCGAAAAACAAAAAGGATAAAGATATGTTGATAAAAATGAAATATCATCTCAGAAAAATTAACAGGCTTCAAAAAACTAAAGCATCTAAAGAATGAAGCATTTCTCAAAGTATTGAGCAAAAATGATTCCGTAAATGAAATATTAAAATGTAAAATATCCCCCTCTTTTGCATTATTTTTGCAAGGAGAATTGCAAAACTATAAAAAAAATCAAAAGGTCGAAGATGGAACTTGGACTCCAAAATAATAGCACTAAGACTGTATAAAAGGTCACCTAGGTGTTACAAATTATTAAGAAGGATGATTTGCCTGCCAACACCTAGTTCATTAAAAGCGTTATTAAGCAAGTTTCACATGAAAGTTGGTATTAATGACCAAATTTTTAATGTTTTGAAAAAAACAATAAAGCAACAGACTCCCTCAGACAATAAGTATATCCTTATGTTTGATGAGATGTCAATAAAAAAGAATTTGTTTTACAACAAAAAGGAGGACATAATTGAGGGTTATCAAGACCATGCACTGCAGGGCAGGTCACCACAAATGGCAACACATGCCCTCGTGTTTATGATTGGCGGAATCCGTAAAAAGCTGAAACAACCAATTGCTTATTATTTTTCTAGTGGATCTGTGACTGCAGATAGGCTGTCAGTTCTTATAAAGGAGGTGAGCATTATGGTCTTTTATTTGTTATTATGTCAATATAAGTAGTAGTACTTTTTTACCATATTCATTTACCCTTTTATCATTCTAGGTCCTGCAACATTGTTTTGATGCTGGAGTTAATATTTCAGCTACAGTGTGTGATATGGATGGTGTGAATAAGAGAGCTTTAAGTATCTTGGGAGCATCTGTAGAACAGCCATATATTCTGCTAAATAATCGAGAAGTGGTTACCATTTTTGATACTCCGCATTTGCTCAAATGCTTTAGAAATATGTTTTTAAAATATGACATTAAATGTCCAACAAATATAACATCAAATGATCAAATTGGATTTGGTAAGATATTTTGTTTTATTACAATCATAATATTATACATATTTCCAATTTACTGGATATTTACACAAATTTTTTTTACAGGTGTTGCTAAATGGAGCCATATAAAGGAGTTTTATGAAACAGATAACACCAATCCCAATTTTGTGTTTGCACCTTGCTTAAAACAAGAACATTTAAATCCAAATACGAAGCAGAAGATGAAGGTGAAGCTAGCTGCACAAGTGTTAAGCCACTCAGTTGCTGCAGGAATGTATGCTAAAATTTCACAAGGTAAATTAAATTTATAATTTAAAGTATAATATTTAAACATATGTCCACCCATTAAAATAATTATTAACTTTAAAAGGAACTTGGCTCTCCCAAGTACAAATTATTGTTTATTGTGTGATATGTGATATTTTTTTTGAGTTGTCTTGTAACATACTTTAAATCATGTTTCTTTAATCCTAATAGTAAGATCTTAAATTATGTGTTGTTTACAGGGGAACTCTCTTCAGAGGCTGTCACTACAGCTAATGTTATTGCAAATATGGACAAGCTGTTTGATTGTGTCAACGCATGCACACCAGACCTAAGAAGGGGGAAACCATATTCGACAAACATGACAAATAATACACCACATCTCACACATTTCACTTTAATGAAGAATTTTTTTAAAGAAATGACGTTTTTGGGATGCAAACGAGCTCCTCCATCCCAAGAAGGTTGGATATGGTCCATCAATGGAATAGAACGAATTTGGAGAAATCTCAGTTCTAAACATAAATCAATAAAAAGTTTGGAAACAAGAAGGCTCCAGCAGGACCCGTTAGAAAATCTTTTTGGATGCATTCGGGCCAATTGCGGCTGCAATTCAAATCCCACTGCTGGGCAGTTTGTTGCGGGTCTTAAAACGGCTGTCCTTAGCAACTTATCTTTTATTGGGACAGGAAATTGTGAAGAAGACCAAAATCAAGTTATATTGACAAATTTTAAATCTTTATTGTCTCCACCCACAGACACACACACTGCTTATGCCACAATTTTAACCGATGAGTTAGAAGAAAGTGTAAATTCTACATTTGAATGTAGCTTGGAAGAAAGCAGTGGCGAAATACAAGCATGTGCCTATGTCTGTGGGTTTATAGTAAAAAATAATCTCAACAAATGTGAAATTTGTGAAAAAATTTTTGTATCTGAGACACAAGAGAGATCACATACTTTTATTAACTTTAAAGAATATAGTGATCTAAAAAAGTCCCTTAAATACGCCTCTAAAAACCTCATTAACTGTATTGAAAGTAGTGCTACGATGATTTATGATTTTTTAGAGGCAGAAGCATATAAAAAAAAATTAAAAGGGACAATTAAAGTTTTGTTCAAAAACTCAATAAATTGGGAGTTTCTTGATGAATGTCCAGAACATAAAGATATGAATATAGATTACTTATTTAATAGCGTATTTCACATTTGTATGAAGAGATTTTGTATTTTGAAAAATCGGCAATTTGCAGAAGAGTACTCTGCATCTGCTCTTAAAAGAAAAATTGATATCTTGCAGAATAAATAAGATATTACATGGAACTACTTTTTCTGTATGTACAGTCATAATCACTTCAGTGGTGACATTATATAAGGAGATAAAAGGAGAGGGAGGATTTGTCCTCTCTCGAGAGAGGCTGCCAAGGAGTGACTAGCGCTGATAAGGCTACGGATGTGTATAAAAGTGTACCCGTAGTCCTGCCGATAAGTGGTGAAGATGAAACATCTGAGAGTTTTAGTCGGAGTGGGTCAGATATTCCTTGCTTCCGCGAGGCAGGTAGGATTTAAATTTAAGTTTTTTTTTTAAATATTTGCCATATAGAGCCACTTTTGGATTTCGAATATAGTATTTTCGAAACTATCACTTTACTGGTGCGAATCATACCTTACAGTCTTTTTATCATTTAATGTCGGATAGTTTATTAGTCACCCTACAAACAATCGTATTGCTATGCAACTAACTTTTAAGTTTACTGTGGGTTATGGATAACACATACATTTGTATTTTTTATAGAATTTAGCAAGTAAATGCTGTGACACTTAGACATCTACCTGTATTATCGAAAAATAATAAATAATAACTACTTAACTATTAAATCGATATTTAGTTAAGAGCTGTTGAGAACTGTTTACATGCATAAAGTTAAAAATTAGTTAATTACGTATATATTCATGTAACATCTTATTTATTCTGCAGGATATCAGTTTTTCTTTGAAGAGCAGATGCAGAGTACTCTTCTGCAAATTGCCGATTTTTCAAAATACAAAATCTCTTCATACAAATGTGAAATACGCTATTAAATAAGTAATCTATATTCATATCTTTATGTTCTGGACATTTATCGAGAAACTCCAAATTTATTGAGTTTTTGAACAAAACTTTAATTGTCCCTTTTAATTTTTTTTTATATGCCTCTGCCTCTAAAACATCATAAATCATCGTAGTACTACTTTCAATACAATTAATGAGGTTTTTAGAGGCGTATTTAAGGGACTTTTTTAGATCACTATATTCTTTAAAGTCAATAAAAGTATGTGATCTCTCTTGTGCCTCAGATACAAAATTTTTTTTACAAATTTCACATTTGTTGAGATTATTTTTTACTATAAACCCACAGACATACGCACATGCTTTTTGTCATTAATACCAACTTTCATATGAAACTTGCTTAATAACGCTTTTAATGAACTAGGTGTTGGCAGGCAAATCATCCTTCTTAATCATTTGTAACACCTAGGTGACCTTTTACACAGTCTTAGTGCTATTATTTTGGAGTCCATGTTCCATCTTCGACCTTTTGATTTTTTTTTATAGTTTTGCCATTCTCCTTGCAAAAATAATGCAAAAGAGGGGGATATTTTACATTTTAATATTTCATTTACGGAATCATTTTTGCTCAATACTTTGAAAAATGCTTCATTCTTTAGATGCTTTACAGTTTTTTGAAGCCTGTTAATTTTTTCAGATGATATTTCATTTTTATCAACATATCTTTATCCTTTTTGTTTTTCGGGGATGGATTTGCAGCAGGTCGTGCTAATTAATGACATGAAAATGTTGACTTATTAGTTTTTAATGCAGTCAATAACAATAACATAACGAAAATAATTTCTACAAATGTAATATTATTGGTGGGATCTATAATATGATCAGGTTATTGGAGTTTAGACATAATATTGCAAAGCTATTGCCTTGTTTGTAGAATGTGAAGGTAAATAATGTTTTCTTGTTAGAAAAAAGTGTTTATATTAGATTGTCTAATCTTTTTTATATAAAACCAATGTACCTTTACTTTCCATTTTGCTTAAATGTCATGTTACATATGCCATGTTAAAAATTAGTTAATTACTCCGTCACTTACGTCCATCAATGTACCAACGGTTTTTCTATGTACCAATGTAGACAAGTATGTAATGTAAATAAAAATTATGTATTTCAAAAACCACTTTTATTTGAAAAATAGTTCCTTTTTTATATTAAAATGATTGCTAATCGTTTCAAAAGTGGTTTATGAATGTAAAGTACCATAATTTACAAATAACTTTGTGCTTTTGTTTTCGTTTTAATTTAGCAATATATATCATTGAAACGAAAAACTACAAGCTATATCTATCTATATGGTATTTTACATTCTTAAGCCATTTTTGAAACGAAACAACCAAGACGACAACTAAAAAAAAATCACGTCAAAATTCCCGCGCAAAAAGTTTTAGGGGGCACGACAGAGATGGCGTGCATTATGGGTGCCATTTTCTTTGTTTGAAGTTGACATTCTTCCCGCCTAAGGGTATTAGTGTTCTGTGCTAGGGATTGCCTAGCGTAAATGTAAAATATTTTGTTTAAAAATGAATTCACCAAAATCATACAAATTATCAACAATAAAACTTTTTTCTTTGTAAAATATCAAAATTAATAAAATAATTGAAAATATTACATATTTTAAACAGTATATAACATAAATTTTAAGCAAAAATAGACGTGTCTTATTATTGACGACGTCTTGCGAATTTACCTGTGAAATGTGCAACCATCAGGATTGCTTCTATTGTTGATACCACTGTCACTTACGGAACCTGAAACCATTTTGGAAAACTATAAATTATACAAATTAACACTATTATAATTTAAAAACACACAAAATATCTACAAGCTTATTTCTTGCGCGCCGACATGCGCCGACCTGTCATTCAAAATCGGTTACAGAGTCATGAGATTTTTCTATCTTGCATTTTTGCCATAAGGAATTTTCTTCTCCCTTGCGCACTATGTTGGTCTATCCTAAGTCTATGGATAAAACTTACATAAAAATATGATAATCACGAAACGCGAAGTACTTGACTAAGAAAAGTATGACAGATTAACGACTTGTGCGGTGTTGAAAGGCCAACCGACTTGGGCGTTGTCACTACTTTTCGAATTACGGCTTTTGATTGGCTGAAATCTATATCATGTGGTCAATGGTTAGACGCGCAATAAGAAAGAAAGAAAGACATTTATTCACTGGAACTGTACAAATCACAAAAATAAAAAATAAAAAGTTAAAAGTATTGTAGATTAAAATTACAAGAGTGTATCGAGCCAGTGAAAAGGTTATGACTCAGCGTAATGCAGCAGGGTAACCTACAGCGCTGATGATTCTGCCATAACCACAGAAACACGCACGATCCGCCTGGAAGTGGTTATGACATACATTTCAATAATTATTTTATAAATTGAATTATTTCCTTGTTAATAAATATACCTACATATACATTTAGGGATATACACACATACATACATACAAGAAATATTATACATAAATATATTCATATAATATTATATTCTATATAAAACTAAAAAGGTTTCAAAAACATAATATATAAAAATAAACGTAACAATAAGCTTTGAAAATCCACACTAAAAACAAACATATAATGCTCAACGATGCTGAAAGATTGGCTCAAAGTTGAGCTTTTTGTGAGTGGAATAAATGATTTTTATAGTGGGATTTAAAATTGTACTTTGAATTACACTCACGAATATGTGGAGGAATGTCGTTCCAGCACCTTGTAGCTATATATTTAAAACTACCTCTGAAAGCTGCAGAACAGTAAGTGGGATTGGCAAGTGGGCTCGTACAAGACCTAATGATGTTTTGTCTTTTTCTCCATATAAGTTTATCATATAAATATAGGGGTGACTTAGTTTTGACAACATCAAATAGAAAATTAGCGAGGTATAGTTTCTGTCGCGCTTTCATTTTCAAAATGCCTGCTTCATTGAAAAAAGGTGTTATATGTTTTGGTATTGAGAAGCAGTATCGTGCTATATACAGTGTATCAAAAACAACTAGCTGTCATATGTCAAGTTGTGTCAAGAAGCTGCAGTGTATGTCGTATATTGTTATATACGACAGTTATTTTTGCAAAAATAAATAATAATTCATTGAATTAATTCGACTTACAAAAATACGAGTGCATAAGTTACAAGGAGCTGTTCATTCATATTCATAGTGAAGTGCAACGTTGCGATCTAAGCCCCACCCCGCTGGCTACGCCCCTAGTGACTCAAGCAACGTCTCGCTCGCTGCTTACGCATCGTTCACGGCCGGTTACGCACTGCTCACGCATTCTGTTATCCTGGTACTTGTAGCGCGCTGTGACGATATAGTCTTCACTTAACAGTAGCTATGTCGGACCCAGATATGTCAATTTGCGCTACAGAGGAGAACGAATCTCCACTGAACACTGTTTTTGATCGACCGCGTAGACCTGCCCAGGGAATGCCGCAACAACAATTTGAAGCCTTTAGAATGGAGCTAACTCAACTTATAACAACTTTCAACACTTTGCATAGGGAAGAGCTTCGACAATTGTGCACGAAAATGCAAGAAATTCAAGACACTAACAAAAGCATAGAAGCATCATTGGCTCATTTAACGACACAGAATGAAGAACTGAAACATAAAATAAATAGCCTTGAAGATAGATCACGGGAAGATAGGGAATATATCGTATTCCTGGAAGATAAATTGGAGGATTTGCAGCTCTCATCTCGCAAGACGAACTTCGAAATAAAGGGAGTGCCTAAAAAGGAATCTGAGACTAAACAGGACTTAATTGAAATGGTGGTAACGCTATCAGAAACTATTGACTTCAAAATAAACAAGACCGATATTAAAGATATTTATAGGGTGAGAGGAAAAAAGCCAGAACATAAGAACACCCCCATTGTAATGGAAACTGGCTCAGTGCTACTGAAAACAGATCTCCTAAAAATGGCTAAATCTTTCAACATACGAAATAAAACCAAATTGTGCGCAAAGCACCTTGGTATGAAGTCTCACGCGGATACACCGGTTTTTCTTTCAGAGAATTTGACACCAAAGGCTGCCCGGCTTCATTATCTGGCCCGTGACCTTGCTAAATCTAAAGGCTATAAATATGTGTGGACATCTTATGGCAAAATTTATGTGCGGAAAAGCGAACAATCGCCAATTATCATGATTAAAACGGAACAACGGGTACATAAATTACTTTTAGAACAAG